AATACATTGAAACAAGCAAAGTTTGTGTGTTAATGATGCCAAATACTCATCCAACTCAATACAAAAGAAAAGCGAGGGACGTTTATTGCGCAATTTTTAAAGCCGTTACGTTTTAACCTATTATACTGTTTAAAAGTCCCAATTGATACATTTCCCATGGATCTTCGCCTTGGACTTCTGACATGCTTGCCTCAAAAATCGTAAACGAATCAGCATCTAACGGACACCGTGTTAGGGGGACAACAACCTCATTCTGTAGTGCATCATCTGTGCTGTCATGAAAGTAAGCCGTAGGATCCACACTGTATCCCTCCAAGTCCCTCTGAAATATAGTTGAAAGGAGATTTAAATACCGCAAAACACTGGTTATGACTGCCTTAAATTAACTTTGCAAGCAAGGAATCTTGGCATCGTTTCGATCATCATCTGTATTTAAATTGAAGGGGTGGTTAATTAAAACTCAATATTTAGTGCAGGCCACTTGAGATTGTTCACCTGTGTGGCTTTAATGCCTGGGGAACTGTGTCTGTCATATGCATTATTGCGTTTACCTGAATAAGGCTTTGAAAGTATTCTGATGCCACAATACCACTTTCTTCCGCAATTTCTTGCATCCCTAGTATGAACAGTAGTAAAGGACTTTTGTTTCCTGCTGTACGTATTTTGCGATTATTCCAGGATAGCACAAATTTTGAAAGGACCTCGTTGATTATTGGGAGATAAGTGAAGTGAAGGCAAAATAGATGCCCTTCGTTGTCAAGATCGAGCTGACCGCATGCTTCGAGAGAAAGGAAAAGGTCGTAAAATGAGGACAGGACTAACTTGTACACATCACGCCAGAGTCTTTCTATACGCGAGTTGTGCTCACTTCGTCCGGTGATGTAACTCCCTCTTCTGGGCCCTCTCGCTATATGGCTCAACATGTAGTGTGCCACGTCTCTGTTTTCAACTCCCATGTCGCCCCTGACTCGTGATGGCAATCCCCATTCAGGACACCGCACCCTCAAAGAGACGCAAGACTGTGTCAGACGTGTTATTCGTATCGCACCTAAGGTAAACGACGGAGCGACTGTAACCGTCAATACAGCCGTGAACCACGAATCGCCATCTAAGAAGAGAAGGAATAGAGTGGCAAACCGAAAGTATATGTTAATAGCTTGTGAAGGGTGGAGGGGGGGAGGTTGCTCCTAAAACAAATGGTGCAAAGTTATTGACACCTGAATTATAACAACAAATATGTCATCAAAATAGTGAGATAGGTGACAGCTACCGTATCAGTTTGTGATTCCCGTCCATATGCCAGAGGGCCAGTGGGGAAAGTACGTTATACACGTGTCTACGGATGGCATTCATAGACCTTAGCCTCCTACCAATGTGATCGACTCTCTTTATGGCACTCCTTAGTCTCCACCTCTGCACACGTGCACCTTGGGAAACAAGGTAACCCTCGATTGTTTGCAACCTGTCAACAAAAATAAGAGTTTTAATTTCAAGCACCCTGTGACACAGTAGTGAAGCCAATGCCACTTGTCGGTGCTTTCTTGAATTCTCTGTTTAAAGGATACAAAGTGTGTTTCTGATATGCAAAATTTTGTGTAAACACTGCGGCGGGGCTTAAAAGCTCTTGCCTGTAAGTTGATTACGTTTTGAATGGAAGTTTTCTTTGCTTAGCCCTAAAGGCAAGAAGAGAAACGTCACAAGTCACGCAACTCTAGTCAATGTATCTAGTTTGTACCGAACTCAGTCTGTATCAATAATAATAATAATAATAATAATAATGATAATCGCAAAAATTAATAGTTGAGGTAAAGAATGTAAAAATAAATAAAAATATAAATAAATACGTCTACTGAAACAAACGACGAAACAGCCAGGTGTCCTGTCAATTGTCTGAATTATGCAATAGTTTTTATACAGCAAGTTGCGACCGTAACAGATCGAACGGTAAAACTCGACCTAGATTTGAACAATTACGTACAACTACGTGCATTACGGTGTCCGCACTAGCCTTCCTTAATACGTGATGACTACGGAATGGGAAAGAGCACAGGGAAGATAGGTATGTATGCGCGCTAAACCAACTCAGTAAAAAATATTACTGTGGCAAACACTATTTTTAGAACGCGAAAAAAAACCTTTAACTGTTTCCGATCCAGACATGTAATTTACCTTTGATCGACAAAATAAAAATAGATCTTACTTTTACTATCACTGCACTCAGGAAAAATTAATAAACAAAGCAATATAATGTACACTTCTTTAAAATAATAAATATAAACAGTCTTCTCCTAGCTTACTCTTATCGTCCGGCACACCAATTAAAGCATTCCGAATATCACTTTGATTGAAAAATGTCAAAACAGATCAAGGATATCAGTTTTTGTACCATGGCGTCCAGGGCACACACAAAATTAAACTTCTCATGTACTCCTTCAGTGTTCAAAGAGCCGTTGAAGTTGAACTCTTGTTGAAAAGTAAGCGTGAGTCAGAGAAAGAAAAGAGAGCTCGACAATCGACATTTAATGCACGTCATAACACTACTTAATACTATACACATATTCAGGCCCACCAACACGACGCTTTCATGAACGACAACGAATAAATACAATATCGGCGGGAAAAAAAGAGGAGAGACTTACCGAATTGGCTCTGCTTTACGGCAAAGCTAAGTGAAGACTATTCAATACAGCGACTACGCCATGTGATGGTTTCGCGGCAGTCTTCACATTCGATGACGTCATGCCCCCAGCAGATCGCTGTTCCATTTGCGGTTTCTGTTTTTGGTGGTTTCGGCGAGATAGCCTTGGCGGCCGTCACCACCAACAAAAAATACAAGGATGTCAAATAGATCAGCAAATACAAAGATGGCTTAAGGATCAGCTGCAGGATAGCATAGCTAATAAAGGAATGGCATGGCCTTCACGTCACGCCACAAGCAAGCTCGACGATTCGCCACAACATCGAAACATTTCAAGTAATACTAAGCAATTTAATGTTCAGATAGAGCGTCTGATGTTCTGCAAAGCTATTCGACCTAACGCTTCACTATTTGTGTTTATGCTGTACCATTCTACATTACGCTGAGCCATTTCACGCAACGCTACACCATTTGGTGTATTGCTACAGCCCCCAACAACAATCCTTCCAGGCTTCATTCGTTAATCGTTTGTTAAGGTTGCAGTGCCTCCTTTCTCACTAAATGATGTGAATGATGTCGAATCAGCTTCCAAGCTGACGTCACCAGCCAAACCGCACAATTTCCCCTATTTCTCGGTCGCGAACATGAAGGAGGCCAATTCAGGGATATATGGAAATGCACAAGAAATTCTTAAAATAGAAGCGACAATGATTATCGACTTTTTTTTTTAATCAAGAAAACAAGATTTATGATATGGAAAAATATGGGGGCTAGTGGTATTTTAAATTCCTGATCCAAATTTATGATGATTTATGTTTCTTCGCAGGAGAGTCAAACAAGACTCTACAGCAAGCCTGTTTTGTTTTGCTGTATTCCATAACGATAGTCGTCGCTCTGAGTGGAAATATCCTCCTGATATTTATCGTCAAGTGGAAACCAGAAACAAGGTCCCTCACTGGGGTATTGTTCGTCAACATGGCCTTTGCAGATATTTTAGTGACCTTAATTGTGATGCCCGATTCCATGTCATATGTCTTCACAGAGGGAAAATGGATTTCTGGAGACGTAGGCCTTGTCACATGTGCTGGTGTGAGGTACCTTAACTTCATCACACTGGCGGCGTCAATCGTTAGTCTATTGTTGATGTCAGTGGGTCGTTACTTAGGAGCTACTTTCCCTCTCGACCGTTTCCCAAATTTTCGCCGAGGGAAAATCCAGTCTGTGGGAATTTGGTTTAGTGCAACGATCACTTCGATCCCCGTCGCTCTAACATGGATAAATTTTAAGTATTTTCCAAACGACACATATTACGTTTGCGCGCCCATATTTCAGGCACCCGGCAAAGAATACAAGAGGATCCTTTTTACATTACTTGTTCCTTCTTATGTACATGATTCCACTGCTTGTGATATCCACGCTATATACCTGGTTTGTCTTCGGCTGCGCCGCAGAGGTATTCCAGGACTCGTTACTCTAAAAACAAAACACCGAAACGAGGTAACCAAACGAAAGGTCGTACGCATGCTTGTAATAATCACCGCTGTATTTGCCATCTGTTGGCTTCCATCACAAGTCTATATTGTCCGTATGGCATACTTGGATCATTTCCTGATGTTCATAATGCTCAACTTCCATATTATGTGCAGTATTTGTCTAATTGGTTGGGACATGCCAACAGTGCCACAACAGTGCCATAAATCCATGGTTGTACCTGACCTTAAGCGAAGCATTGCGCAAAGACTTTTGTGAGGTTGTGAAGAGAGATAGACATTCAAATTCTCGTTACTTTAGATTTACAAGATATCAGACGTCAACCAAACATGCTAAAGGCACTAATGTGTACAATGACGTACTACTGCAAGATGTGCGCATGGATCGCAAGGAAATAAATTGTGTGCTCAATGAGAAAGAAAAACAGATTTGCAGTGAGACAAACGTCTGAAAAAAGGTCAACACCACGGTGTACACTATTGTGTTGCGGATGCACACGAAATGTTGTTAAGAAGCGTAAGCTTCGCTCAAGGTGATAGCTGTGGTGTTTACCATATATTTTAAAAGATAACATCGATACATCGTAGCAAAAGAGTTCCGTTTTTTGAACCAAAAATGTTCGTATAGTCTAACATGACTGGACAAAACTGGAGCGTGAAAACTAGTCATTGTATTTGCTGTAAGCAAATACAATGACTAGTAATACTACATCACAAATCATTGTATTTGCTTACAGCAGCAGAGTAAACCCATGGGTAAATAATAGACGGTGAATTAACCAACCAGGGGGCATGCTTTACGTTGGTTGTGTTGTAAAAGGTCATCTTTTATCGACACTTCGTTGCTTTCCTATTTTAATTTATAAAAGCTA